GGGCGGGGCTCCCCCGCCCGGGCTGCGCGCCTTCCCGCGGTGCGCGGCAGTCACTGCTCGGGGCTTTTCTTTAGAAAGCGGTTGCGTTCCCTCCTCTCCTGCAGTAGGTGCGGGCCCCTGAGGCTCCGCGCTCGTGAGTTAGGAAACCTCGGGGCGGCGGCGAGTGCGGGAGGAATCGGCGCGCTCCACGCTCGTCGCTGTGAACTCCTGGAGAGGGGCGGGGGCGCGCCTCAGACTCTCGTAAACTGCGGAACGCGGTTGTAAAACCTGGCGCGCCTCTGCGCCCTGGTTCAGGCCCGAGGTGCAGCTGGGCGCGGGCGGTGGTGCGCCCTCCTGGGGTTGGCTCAGCTGCGGGTCCTTAGATTTAACCTCGTTAAGGAGCCGTTTTCCCCTGTTGAGGTGTGTGAGCCTGGCGGCGCCCCGCGCGTGTGCTCTTGAGATCGGGTTGGAGTGGACACAGGTGTGTGCGCGCGACTCGGGGCCGAAAGGCGGGGCTGAGCATCCTGCCTCCTGCTGGAGTGGGTGGTGCACAGCGTTCCTCTGGGGGGCCGCAGTGTGTCCCCCACACTCAGTCGGTTTTCTGTCCATTCCTGCCTTCCTCTGCTGGGGCTGCTCACTGGGGTCTCCTCCCCTCGCCCTGGGGCCGCGCTGACCCTCAGCCGCTGAGCTGTGCTCGCTCGCGGAAGTTGATGTGGAGGACAGGACAGGACAGGGTAAGCCCATCCTTTATCCCACCCGGGAGCCTCAACCTGCGCCTACTCTCCCCGGCTGCTCTTCTTTGGAGGTGGAGCCGGGGTCCTTGGCCTGCAGACACCTGCCCACTGAGCGCAGGTGGGGCGGGATGGATGCTTCCCCAGAGCAGGCTGCCTGTTCTCTTTAGAGGGAGGGGCTCAGGATTGTCTGTGTGACACACTGTTGCCTGTTCTCATCACTGCTTTGAAGTCATCTCACTTGACCTGCGCTTCGGCCTTAATGCACCTGTAAACCCGCCAGTCTGTGCATGATGGAGGTGAAGCTCGGTGCCAGTGAAGAGCTGTGGTCCTGCAGTGCTCTTGCTCTGTGCAGCTCAGGTGTGGAGGACACTTGGCCGGGGCTGTTCACACATAAGGTTGAGGCAGGAGTGGTGCAGGCGGAGGGAGCCCTGTTCTACCAGTGCCTGGGTCCACATGATCATCTGGGCATGTTGTTGGGTCACAGTGGCCGTGGAGTGGTACAGTGAGGTCCCAGTGGTCTGCTGGGTGATGGGAAGGAGGCCATTGTGTGTACACGTGTGTGGGTTTTCCTTGGGACAAGATAGGAGCTGGCTACGGGGCAGGGCCGTCTGGGTGGGGAGAGAGACCAGAAGGGACCTGGGGGGCTGCCTCCATGAGTCCATGGGGAGCAGCCTGGGTCCTCCGGTCTGTCCTGCGGTGTTCTGCCAGAGGGCCTTTCTGAAAAGACAAGTCCAGTGGCCTAGGCTTATGTGTTTCTGACCAGCCAGAACAGCGCATGCATTTTGGGTGCAGTCTGGTGAGTCTTGACAGACGTGCCTTAGAAACCACCCCCAGTCGAAACATGGACATCTCCCTCTCCCAGACATGCATCTTACCCCCATCTGGTTCCTCTTGGGGGCATTTAATGCTGACACTCTCTTTCTCTAGATATTCCCTCCTTGATGTCGGTCGGTCCTGGGCCTGGTTCTGCAGCCTCTGTGACACTGATTTTTTTCTAATTGTCATTCTTTTTTCTGCGCACTCTTAATCCTTGGGGCTCCCAAAGGTCCATCATGTCTGCTTCCTTGTTGGTGGCGATGCCCTGGCCCTGTCCACTTCCTGGCACACATTCAGCTGTGTCTGCTGCCAATGGCCCCTGTCCCTCACTTGCTGGTTTCCAGGAGAACCTGCTGGTCTTGTTTGTATCTCACCCATTTCCTTCCCTGTTCCTTGGGTCCAATTGGCCCTTAGCCGGCAGGTTTGCTCCAGGCCTTGTGGCACTGTGGGTGCCTTCTGCTCTCTGGGCCGGCTCCGTCACAGCAGTACCCATTCTGGTGCCCTGGGGTTTGTCTTGCCTGCTTGCTCTGTGCCCAGCGCCCTTTGGCTGGACCCACTGCTCTGTGTTCCTGCTCCGACCTCAGGCCTAAAGCCAGAGCATCTCACCTGCTTCCTCATCATCTGTCAAGACCCAGACTTCCTCTCACCTGGGTCTGTCCTGGAAGCTTCCTTCCACCTAAGGTAGAGTTATTCCTCTAGAGCAGAGATTTTCAACCGTGTATCCCAAGAATTTTTAAAACGTGCAACACCTGACTAGTTAGGGGAGCTGACCTCTTTTCTCCTTAGATTGTCAAATGAAAAATGACAACAGCCAAACTGTGATGGCTGTCTGGTATTTTTTGGTATGCTGCAGAATTTTAGTAATCAGTTTATGTGCCATGTGATGTAAAGGGTTGAAAACCGCTGGTCTATCATCAGTGGCCCCACTCTGGGGTCCCATTCAACATTAGTGACCTGGGCATGACAGATTTCTTAGTAAGTACACAGAAAATTTGATGAATTAGTCGTGATCAAAACTAAGAATTTGGCTAATGTTATTAAGGGCAATTGATGAAGTCCAACTACATTTTGGGGAATTTCTGAAAAAACATCCTGCAAGCCACAAGTTTTAGTTTAAAAATAAGTGACTAAATGCAGACTTTGGGCACCCTTCAGTCCCTGGTGGCGTGTGGCCTGCGTGTTCTCATGGGAAAACAGTTCAGAAGAACCCGTAGTAAAATGTAAGCAGCACTGGCACGTTTAACCCTTGTAGATGGTGAACGAACCACTTGCTCAGTTTCTCACAAAACCTGCCACCAGCGTTCCAAGGGACAGACAGCAGACTTCTGCCAAGTTCCAGGGCCCCACAGCTCCCTTCAGAAGACTCATCAGCTGGGGATCCAAACGCTTCTGACTCTTGAGAAAGGCCTCAGGTTCCTTTGCTGACTCTGCCACATGCTTTCAGACAGGTGTGGGAGGGTCCCCAGTGGGGGATGGAGCCTGAATTAGCGTTTGAAGGGGGTCTGGGAAAGTGGGTGGGACCCTGTCCACCGGGAGGGTGTGTCCTTAATGCAGCAGCTGGGTAAGGTGTTCTGAAGGAGAGGTGGGTGGGATTGGAGAAGAGGGGGCAGGTGCTCCTGTGGAGGTCACTGAGCCTGGGTAACGAGGAAGGGGTGCCCACATGGGGATGAGGTTTGAGGGTGGATGGGGTGCTGCAGAGCCATACACCGNGAGAGCAGCTAGGGTCCTAAGGCCGGACTTGGCTCTGGAAAGCAGAGGCACAAGGCCAGTGGTGAGAGATGAGGAAATGCTGGGTGCCCTGAGCGGGTGGAGGGTAAGTCTCTGCCAGGCAGGAGCCTGAGGCAGGAGGCGTCTGGCCAGGCTCCTTAGGGGAAGGTTGTGGTGAGGAGCTGTGTGGGGTCCTGTGCAGGGGCTGGTCTGTTCCTCTTATTGTTTAAGATGGGAATTAGAGCAGATTTTTCGATAGAGGTTTAAATGGTGTTAACAGGAGGGGAGAGTGTGCTCCAGGGAGAGGAATAAGCTGATGGGGTTGGAGGCTGCAGACGGGACAGGGAGGCCCTCGCCCTGGGCCCCACCCATACGAAGAAAATGGTAATTTCTGCCTTCGAGGAAACTGGAATGATTGCAATGGTCTGTCAAACGCAGGTGCGTGGAGCCTCTCTGTGCACTTGGAGCACGGAGGAGGCAGCCACTTATTACTTGGTGGCGGTGGTGTTCCTTGTAGTAACAAAGTTTCAGTTCTTGTAGGTCGTTTATCAGGAATATAAGAGGTTTGAGATAGTTTTCATTTACTCCCACATCTCCTCCCCTGACGGGACATTTTTAGTTCCTGCACCTGTTCTGTGTGGTTTGTTGTGTTTTATGTGAGAGGGGCCTGCAGGTGAAATGGCTCTTCCTTCATTTACAGACAGAGAGCCAGGCCCTGGGGTGGTAACCCACCCAGGTGCGCAGGAGGCCTGGGTGCGCAGCCAGGCCTTCCTCCCACTCAGCGCTCTGTGGAGGGTGGTAAGAAACAGGAGCCTCAGGGCCTCCCTTCCTGATTTCTGCATTTTGCCCCCGTGTCTAGAGCGGTTCTGGTCCGAGTAGAAGGATGCAGCCACCCTGTCGTCATGAAGGGTTTGTGTGCCGAGTGTGGCCAGGACCTGACCCAGTAAGTACCCACCTGGTGTGAGCACAGTGCTTCTCATGGTGGAGGGGGACCGTGGGTACAGAAGTGTAGGGTGGAGGGCACAGGCGGGGGCCGGGAACTGGCTGCACGAGGGTCATCTCGCCTGGTCACTGCGGTGTGAGGGAAGGGATGACCGAGCAGACCTCACCTCCCTTCTGTCAGACCCCCATCCTGGAGGCAGCCTGTGCTCCAGCAGAGGGCTCCGCCTCACCCCCTGCGCCAGTGCTGACCCCACTGGGGGGGGGGACTGTGTCTTCATGGGTCAGTGTGTTTTCGGCAGAGCTCTGAGGGGCTGGAAGGTCACCGTCTCGCCAGGCTCCTGTGTGTTTTAAGTGAAGGACGCCCCGCGGCCGCCAGCAGCACTTGGACCACGTAGAAATGAAAGTGCTCACTGCCGCCTCGGTGAGCGGCTGGAGGTGGCCATCTCACGGCCCTGTTACTCCCGCAGGCTGCAGAGCAAGAACGGGAGGCAGCAGATGCCGCTGTCCACAGCCACCGTGTCAATGGTGCACAGCGTCCCAGAGCTGATGGTGAGCTCCGAGGTGAGTGCCGGCCACCTGTGGGTCCCAGAGCAGGCGGAGGGTGGCTGGGGAACGTTCAGGGTTGGCATCACCTTGGTTTCTGAAGTGACCACTGGAAGGACGACGGGCGGGGGCTACGCTTGTCTCTTTCCCAAGTGATTCCACCTGGGAAGTACCTGGCTCCCTGCTCTCCAGGCTCTGGCTCTGTTCCCCTGGAGCTGGGTCTGGGCCGGAGAGATAAGATTCGTGAACACAGGGCTGGGTGAGCGGTGCTGTGAAAGCAGACCCAGTCCAGGAGGCCGAGGGCCGGGCTCAGCCCCGTGAGCAGCTGCTGCCAGGACTGGCGACCGTGGGGGAGGGGGGTGAGCCCTGTGGGTCGAGGACATTGGCTGTGCTGGTGGAGCAAACTGGGTGCAGGGACCTCTAAGAGGCCCCAGAGCTCCTGGGGGCCCCGTGTGTGTGTTTGCCCAGGAATTGAAGGTGTCTGCACAGCTGGGAGGCTTGGAGTTTTACTACACCTGTTCTTTTTACCTGTTCCAAGAGCCCCAGAGTCCCTGCCACCTCACGTTTTCATGGTCGGGGTCTAATGGTGGGGAGAGGGAGCATGACCAGGACGGAGCTCAGGCACAGGTCTGTTGGCGTTGTATAGAAACTCAGTTACAAAGCAGTTTCAGAGCTTGTTACAATTTTATTAGATTCGTGCTTTTAAGTGATACCTACTTTATTTTCTGTGAGAAAGACAAAATATGAGATACAGGATTCAGGTTTTTCTGAATTAATGGACTTTAAACAAGTGTAAATGCGTGTGTGTGTGTAACACAACTTGGGGGTTATATGATAAAGAGGAGACTAAGTGTCCNGGACTTTAAACAAGTGTAAATGCGTGTGTGTGTGTGTGTGTAACACAACTTGGGGGTTATATGATAAAGAGGAGACTAAGTGTCCCCCATTTTTCCTCCCATCATGGAATCCCTGTTGGCTGCAGTCCCTCAGGAACAGAGGGTAGAATTCTGTGAACCTGATGAGGCTGGGCGTTTGTTGACAGGAGTCATGAGTGTCAGTCGCAGTGAGAAATGGTCGTGGTGCGGGCCCCCAAGTCTTTGTCATGGGCCCACGTCAGTCCCCTCCGTCGGCTAGTTGTGCGTGGTGGGACCAGGCCCTTCCAGAAGCAGTGTCCCCGCTGGCCCACAAGGGCGACCTCTGTGCCGTGCAGTCCCCGGGCCCACCTGGGTCTCTTCCAAAGTGAAGCTCAGCTCTGAGTGGCAGGCACCTGTGACACACGCTGCACGCCTGCTGCCTCACCTCGGGTCCCCGTCGTTCCCAGCCCACGCCCACGCCCACTGCCCCACTTCCCTGCGTTCTGCAGCTCACGGCATTGAGTTGCTCCACAACATCCAGCTGAAGTTTCCTAGTAACAAGCACTTCTAGCTCCTTTTTCATGGGCTTACCCCAGGGGTGGGGAACCTTTTTTCTGCCAAGGGCCTTTGGATATNTAACCTTTGGATATTTGTAACATCATTCATGGGCCGTACAAAATGATCAACTTAAAAATTAGCTCTGCAAAAAACCAGATTTATTGAATTTCGCGTCCCGCCTACAGTTGCCTAGGCAGGGCCAGACCCAATGATTTCAGCCCATGGGCCGGATGTTCCCCACCCCTGGTTTACACCTTTGGTGAAACAACAGGATTAGGTTCACAAGGCAGAGTGTTTTTCCGGGTGGGGTGCACACAACCAGCTCCAGGCAGCAGGGCCAGCAGCCCTGTGGCCCCGCGTGGTCTGAACAGCAGCAGGTTTGCTGGTGGGTGACACAGAGGGCAGCAAAGAACATGCTCAGCTTCCACCTGAATTTCATTTTGAATCCAGATATACTTACATTGTCGTTTTTCCTGTTTCTTTTAACTTCAGCAAGCTGAGAAGCTAGGGAGAGAGGACCAGCAGCGCCTGCATCGGAACAGGAAGCTGGTGCTCATGGTTGACTTGGACCAGACCCTGATCCACACCACCGAGCAGCAGTGCCAGCAGATGTCCAACAAAGTGAGTTCAGGATCTCAGGGTTCTTCCACTGGCAGGGCCTCCACATGGCCCTCGTCACTCTCAGCGCCTCATCGTTGAGCCTGTTGTGTGCCAGGCTCACACATGAACACATCATTAGGGGCTGAGGGCTCGAGACCTGGGAGGCCTGGAAGTGGACAGCAGTGGGGGCAATCTTGGGCGGGGGGAGAGGAGCAGATTTGTGTGCCCTCC